TAGGATGTGCTTTTGTTCATAATAGGCTATCCCAACTCACCACATCTCTCTCACTCAGTACTAGCTGCAATAAAGTATGGTGTTTTGCATTGGAACATCCATTCTGTGGAGCTAGTTTCCCGAAGAGATTTACCAGGCTAGCTTCCTTCAGGTTCTTAAAGAGACAAGAAAGGCCTTATTCTGCAAGGCATTTGGAGATGCATTTCACTTGATTTTAGTTGCTTATGTTTGCTTTCCTTATAGGTCAGCCATGTTTACTACATTGCTAATTGCTGATATTTAACTGAATTTAGTAAAGGATGGGTTTTGATCTTATAATTACTTTTATATTTCTACTGCTCCTTTGGATTGCTGTTAAAGCAGAATGGTGGTGTATACATTTTAAAGCCATTAAAACAAGCAAGAAACAAAAGGAGTGGCAAAAGATCTCGAATTCTGTGAAGAAAATGCGCATTTGTGACACACACAGATGCACACGCACACTCAGAGAGAGAAAGGTAGAGATTTGTTCATTTGGTTTTATGAACTCAAGGGTTAACTCTTGAAGTTACATTCCAGGAAGTTGTAGTCAGTCTCTACTCTGGCAGTTTACTTTTATTTTCTGACATGGAGAGGTGGTCAACTACACTCCTAAACAAAACTGAAATATTAAAGCAATATACCGAGTGAGGCAAGACTGCTCTGTTGTCAGTGGAGTTCCTCATTCGTAAGTAAAAGCAATTAATAAATGCAATTAACTTTGTTTTGGAATTAAGCATACAAACTCAGGTTTCCTGGGTAAAAGTAATGAGTGGACCCAGGAGGAAAATGGCTTTATTAAAACATATCACTCATGTAGATCCTGTTTATACAACATTTTCACCATCCAGTTTAATAAATAAAGAGAATGATGATTTAACACCTTGTTTAAACATACTTTCCTTAAATTTACATGGGGCCAAAGCTCAAACATGACATAAAGCTCAGACAGGTAGCAGGCTGCATGTGACTCAGCGGAATGCACTTCATCAACATTCCTAACCGATAGGATACTGCCAGGAGTGCCAGAGAAAACCCTCTGAATTTCTGATTTCCTTTTTGGCTAAGAAGCAACAACAGAATCGCCAAACTCTGGAAGGAGTCACTCAACCAGAAATAGGTATGCTAGAAATTTTAAAATGTTGCTTTTGATGGAGGAGTGCGTGTTCACATAACTGAATGTTTAGGCTGGCAAATGAGGTCTGCCTTACCGTCTCACAATCATTTTGCCAGTTTTCTAATAGGGGACTTGTATCAGGATAGAGCCAACTGGACTTAAATTGGCATGTGTAGGGCAATTGGAGAATGTGTGGCCAATCAAACAGGAACATGTGGCGACCACTGCTTCATTTGTGTGCAGTGTATATGAGATACAGGCAGTGTATATGAAGCACAGTCTGTCCCAGGACAAAAATAAAACTGGACTAGATTTCATAGAATGATAGAGTTGGAAGGGGCCATGAAGTCCATTGGGTCCAACCCCCTAATTTCCTACAGTGACTTAAACAATACACCCCTTTTAAGCTGCTCTATTCATTTAAAAATTGTACCATCAAATAGGTATACAATTCTTTCACGCTCTTTGAAACAGTGTGGTAGTGCTTCCTGAACACCTGTATGAGCAGTCTGATCAAAAGCACAACTCCTGCTTTTAATTCCCAGGACCTGTTCGGATACTTCCCCTGCTACCTGTCCTGGGCTTGTACCAAGAAGAATGACTGCAGGCCTTGAAGTTATGGACTCCTATAACTTTCTTTTTGATCAAATGGAAGTTCCTGTGTTTATTAGAATGTGGGATTTCCTCAGCTCTCTGAGAGACAGTGTAGTGTAGTGGTTAAGAGTGCAGGCCTAAGATTCAGGAGACCTGGGTTCTAGTCCCCACTCAGTCATGGCGCTCACTGGGTGACTTTGGCCGGTCACAGACTCTCAGCCCAGCCGACAGGGTTGTTATTAAGAGGCGAGAAGAATTATATAAGCCACCTTGGAAGGAATTGTTGTTGTTGTTAGTCGCGAAGTCGTGTCCGACCCATCGCGACCCCATGGACAACATTCCTCCAGGCCTTCCTGTCCTCCACCATCATAGAAGTGGGATATAAATATAAGAAACAAGTGAGAAAGAAGTGGCAAGTATGGAGGAAGAATGTGAACCTGGGGATATTTCTAAATTTGGCTGCATTGAAAAACTTGAGGGAAAGGGGCGATACTTTAACAGGTCCCTAGAGTTTAAGTGAGACTATAACTGGATGCTCAGTTGCCTTCAAAATTTGCACTCCTCTCACTGGAGGAGGTGATATTATGAGCAGGTGGTAAAAGAAAACCTGTCTTGGCAGTGTGCAAGAATAGATGTCCTCCAGGCTAATACCTCTTTTTCTTGATTTGACTTTTTGAAATATAAAACTATGTGTGGTCTCAGGGAGATCATTTATAGTTGCCAGGTTTTGACTGAGACGTACGTATGTTTGTGTATGCTACTCTAACACTCATACCACACCAAACTGAAGCAGCTGCAGTATGCGCTCTTAGATGTCCCTGTGTTTTTGCTGTTAAAAGTATTTGTATACTGGAGTGAAGCTTCCTCAAGGCAGGAAGTTTACAGGATAAAATTATAGAATAATAAAGTACCTTACTACCTCATGTTCCCTGCTGAGTTAAAAAGCAGCACTGTGTGGGGGCCAATTTTCATAAAAATCTCACCTTAAGGGTAAAGGATTTTTGAAAACCAGTCTGCCTCTCCATTGCCCCCTTTAGCAACCTGACTGAACTCTGGCACAGCTGCCATTGCAGGCAGAAGAATAAAGCGCACTGCAAATGACATATTTAACCATTGGCCCATGGTGGATCAAGGTTATAGGGTTCTAGTCCAACAGCATCTGGGGCACAAGGTTGGGAAAGACTGGATATTGAGATAAAGGCTTCAGTGGTTTGACCTGATAGAAGGAATTGTCTGGTGTACATGCTGACAAAATGCACACAATTATCGCTTTTATAAAGTTCACTGAGGATTCCACAGCTTCTTGAGCTTTATTGCAAGTAGCACAGCAGGCAAGTGCTTTTAAAGTGTAACCCAACTGCTGATTGTAAAATACAATCAATTATCATTTTTCCTCTGAATGTTTTCTCATATGATAATGAATAAATCAGAAACCAAGGTAGTGGTATAGCACAGAAGAAGAAAGGGGCATGACCACAACCACGGGAAGGATCCCACCCCAAGTATGACTTTGTACCCCCATGTGACCATAACAAGCCTGAAGTGCTGTCATGCTGTATTGCTTCAGCTGCAGCAGTGAATGGAAAAATGTTGAGTTACATATTTTGTATATGTTAATACTGCCCTATTACAGAACCGCATATGGAACGCTTCGCTTCAGGCAGGGGGTTGTCCTAAAATATTTGTGCCTTTGTGAGAACAGAGTAGCTTGCAATTCTCAAACAGCAGGATTTATTTTTAGGCTTAGCCCCAGCCTCAAATAAACTGGGAAGCCGAGGAGCGTTCCGATAAACAGAGTACAACAGAGACAGGAAATAGAGGGTCTTGGGGTAATGAATTCCAGCCACGCTTGAAACAGAAAGCTGGGGAAGGCATTGCTTGAAAATAGTTTCTCTATGACAGCCTAGCAATTTTTAGCTTGTTATTTTACCAGTAAAAGGAACACTCTCACTGCAGATTTTAACTGCACTACAGAAGCTTCCTTTTTTCCTTTTCTTCCTGTAAAGAACTGGCATCTTTTGAAGCCTTTAGAATGATATTACTGCTTGTTGATGACTGATCTCCACTTAAAAAAAAACAGATGCTCTGGGTTGGGGAGGTAGGGGGATGCAATCAGAAGTTTATGCCGTTGTGTGGAAGAGTTTAGAATAAGCCTGAAGGACAGTTTTAAGTCAAATATGTACAGACACTCAGCTTGCTAGTGGTGGGGGGAGACAAGGTAGGGTGGGAGGGGAGAGCAAGAAAGACTGTGGTCGCTCCAGAACAAAGCTGTGATTGCTCTGAACCCAGGGAGTATAATTGCTGAGATGGGCCCGAAGCATGGATAGTGAGATTGATATTTACAAACACTTCACGTGGCTAAAGAGGGTAAGTGGCTCTTTGCAATTCTATTGCTTAACAAGTTTATAACTACAGAAAGCAGAACCCATGAAATTCTTCGTTTGTGGGGGAAATTCTGGCATATCTTGCAGTTCGAAACTAGTGGTTTGTGAGGAAGGGGACTCAGGAGATACCCAACAATTCTTTGTCCTTATGAAGCCAATGTTCTGAGCAAAATGATAAATGTATTATTTTAACTTAGCGTTCATGTTAGAACCATCCAGATAGATTGCAGACTGGGTTCTGCTTACAAGTTAGTTGAACTTTAATGCCTATATGCTGTTTCACTTGATAAAATCCAGTTACAGACCCATCAGTGAGCAAACTAACCTGAAAATTCTTTAATTAAAATAACTTAATCACATTTTTCCCAATAGAATTAAAACAAATGGCTCCCAGTTCAGCTTGTGTATGGATCATGGGGACTTCTCAATGTTGTAGTGATTAATCTGTTAGATATCTGAACTGTATTTTGTTGATATTGAAGCTCGGAATGGTTAGTAATGTTAAAGTAAAAATATGTAAAGATGAATTTCCTCTTACTTTTAAGGAATACATTTAAATGAATTTTTGTAAGTCTATATGGCTGCAATAAAATGCACTTCAAGTAGAATATTTTTTTCACTATTCTGCTTAGTCAGAATAATACAGGGTGAAATAAGGAAAAGAAATGTAAAGTTCAGTATTATTTATCTATGGCTCTGTCAATGGCTGAAGAGTGAGAGAGCTGGGATTCAGGTAGTTGAGTATTTGTGGTAAGGAAAGCAATTGCTTAATGGTACAGTATTCTATATGTCTACTCAGAAATATATCTGATTGTGCTCAGTGGGGTTTACTCCCAGATTAATGAGTGAGATTTGGATGATCCTCTGGTCGTCCAAAAGGTCAGGACTGGTTAATATTATGCTATTAAAGGTCAGGATGTCACCTATGGATGACAAATAATACACATTATTTATGTAACACTCAGATTTTAGCTTCTAATTAATGTGTTAGATTCCATACTCTCCTACTGAAAATGTATAGTGAACCAGATGTATAGTAATCAGAACATGTAGCATTTGTTTTAGATGTAGTTCTGTAGTGCGTATTGGTTTTCTTCATATATAAACAGTTGTGCCTATGTATCAGTTTCCAGAAAGCTGTACTACGATTGTGCAGACTAATCTCTGGTTTCCTATGTCAAAAAGGACCTTAAACTGTGTAACATTCTCAAAACCGTAGGAGTAATTGGGATTATTTCCAAACAGACTTTGCCAAATATGTGCGTTCTGTCAAGGCAGCCCACAGAGGCGCTGGTCTTAGTCTGAGGAAATGGAAGCATGATGGAATTCCAGCAGCTGTGAGTGGTTTGTTTCATGGAGAGGGGTTTTTAAAAAGCCGAACACCAGTTCTGACCCTCCTGCTAATAGATATTCTTAATGAATGGGTTGCTGGGGGGCGAGAACAGCAACTGTGTTGTGGGGCAGCGCTCTGTGGAGTGAGGAGGCACAGTGCGAGGCTGCCAGGCACCATTGGACTCCACCCAGGGAAAAAGTTTGATATGCATTATACTCACAAGCGCCTTGGATAAGTAAAGATTTGCAGAAAAGCTGTACACTGAATTCTTGTATCACATGATCCCGTTGCTGTTGCATTCCTGGGCACCAACTGTGGTGGTAAGTTGATGCTCTTTGGCTGGTAATAAAAGCTCTGCGTCCTCCATCAGAGCAGGGAGGGAAGAGAGAAAGGAATTGAGTTGGACTTCCATCAGTTCTTAGAAGCATTTGCCAAAGCAGGCTCTGATTTCACTGAAAGGAGGCAGGGAATAAAGTAGGCAAAATACCAGCTTTGATATTGCAAGATCCAACTGCAGAGTTGTTTTTATGTAGAAATTAATGATGCGGTTCAATTATTCTTGTAAATAAAATAGTAATATAACATTGCTAAATTATTTTATTGTTGAAATGATTCAGCTGTCCAAACTCTGGAAAAGACTGATGAGATCAAATAGCACATGGCAGCTTTATTTAAATTACTTGAAAGTGCCATGCAAGACTTCATGGATCTAATTCAAACAAATGTCTGTCACAAAACTCCTTTTCCCTGGAACCATTTCTAGCACAGAGGCCAGTTCAAAGGGCAGTGCCAAGAAGAGGCCCCGTCCACTGATCATGTGGCGGTCTGCTGGTGGGGCAAGTAATCTGAGCCAAACCCAACAGCAACTTTTAGAAAGTAAGCACAGTTAAAATTATCCTTTTTCTTTTATCAAGGAGGCCTTGGTAACAGACAGAAGAGGGTTTGCTTAACTATGTCTCCTTATTTAATAGGGCAGTGTGTGATACAAATTGGCCCTAAAGGACTTTTTAATAGTGCAGCCATTGCATTTTGTTAATTATATCTCCTTTCCATGTCACAAACTAGCTATGATTTCTAGCAAGCAAGTGAAGATCACAATGGACTGTGATGTGGAATACAAATTCTTACAGATTTAGTTAATTAAACTGTATGTCTCTGGCCACCCAGTGAATATGATCTCTGGACAGCATTTAAAAATATAAAAAACACCACAAAGATCTTATTTATGGCAGAGGAAGAAATGAAACAATAGCTTGGATAACAATAACCTGGGGTGCCAGCACTTGAAAATCCCTTTTCCTAGCAGCCACCTGCCTCAATTTGCTGGGTTGTTGCACTTGGAGCAGGAACACCAAATACCTCTCCGGATCTGGTGGGAAGCAGCTTCTGCTGTGATAGGCTGCATCCGCCAACCCAGCCCGCCCAGGTACTGCTGAAGAGCAGATCCCCACTTCCTATCACCCCACTCACTCCCTGTGAAGGGCTATAGCACAGATCTCTCCACATGGAGTTCTTGAGCACTGCAGGGTCCCTGGCTGGAGCAATTTGAAGTAGAGCCAGTGCTACGTAGAAGCCATACTGGTTTGTGGTGATTTTCATTTGTGCTTGATGGACAATGGCACGGGGGTGTCTGGCTCCTCTTCTCCCCACACCCTCTTTTCACCTTCCACCTTGGCGTTCCATTAACCCTGGTATCCCTCATGGGAGCACAAAGCACTGAGGAAACCAGAATGGTAGTGGTCAAAAGCTGGCATTTTCAGCTGCAGGTGCTGGCAGGATTGCTCGTGAGTCATCCCGTTCTTCTGCCATTAGCGGGAACACTGGGTGGGGAACCTGGACTGGGGAGCAAAAAAAGAAGGGCCACCATGTGCTGGGTTTGGAAGCCCAGTGCAAGGCAGCCGACCTTTGGACTCTTGCATGGCGTGGCAGACGAGCTGGGAAGGAGCACAGATGGCTTCCTCCTTCATGACATGCCACAAGTAGGCAAAGGGAGGGGGCACAGGTGGCTTCCCCACTGCCCAGCTATGGCATGCTGAAGCTGAGCAGCATGGAGTCTGCCGGCATCTTGCAGCAGTTCAATGGAGAAGGGGCATCTGGTTCTTCTTGGGAGGACAGAACATGCCAGCCTGGTCCACTATCCCCTGACTTCTGCTCTTGGATTGAGCAGCACCCATGGGAGCCACACCACTTGAGGGCATGGTAGGCGCCCATGCAGGCGGGCGCCTACCATGGACCTGCCCCTTCTGAGTTCCAGCTGGGGCTTGAAAGGAGACAGGCACCAGCACGGCCTACTCATGTGCTTCCCGCCTTGGAAAGGAAGAGGCATGTGGTGCAGGCAACAGGAAGGGAGCCCTTAGCCTGCATTGCACTCTTTCCCTTCTGTGGAGAAAGGGAAACAGAGGAGTGGTGTGCCTTGAAGAAGGCAAGCAGAGTGGCTTGTTCCCATCTGCCACAACCACAGTGGTAGCAGTGGCAGGCAGGATCCTGCTGTTTGCCCCTTCCAAAGACCCCAGTGCAGTTTATAGGAAGGGCAGGTAGCACCTCTACCTGCCCCCTGCCGCTCCTTTGTGGAACAGAGCAGGCTTGTGGGGCAGGCGACTGGAAGGGGCAACAAGGAGCAGGTGCCAAGCTGCTCCTCTTGTCTTTCTGTTGAAGCAGACCAGCAGACCACCTTGCTGCTACTAGCTGCTTCAGTGGCAACGGCGGCAGGCAAGATCCAGCCTCTTGCCTTCACTTCCTGATAAGGAAGCAAGACCAGGTGGCTGGTTCTTCTACCGCATGATGTCCCCGTAAGCCACAAATGCGTCCTGAGGAGATGGCATACCGCTGGACCCAAGTGGGGTTGGGGAGGCAGTGTGCTGCTGAATCCCGTCGCTTGCCCCATGAGCCTACTGATAGCTGAGGGAGAGCAATCCCACTCTCCTCCAGTATCAACAGAAGCCCAGGATGCACCAGTGACGGCCGCATTTGCTGGCTGACATTAGCTGGACCACAGTGGCTCCCAGCCTGTGTCACACACAACGGTATGCTGTGCTTTCTGTGTGTGTATAATGGACACGGTTTGTTCAACTGAAAATCCAATGTGTTACTCAACTGAACTAAAGATCACAAGTTTTCTCCTTTAATATTGGAGACAAACTGTCTTTCTCTTTGGTCTTTTCAAAGATGAGTGAATAAACTTAATCAGCACCAGAGCCTTCAGAATCTTCTGTGAGGAAGAGCTACTGAACAAATAGTTGGAGGACCACATTCTCTTGGCTCTGCTCTCCTTCCATCTGCTCATCCTCATTAAGAGAAAGCAACAATACATTGAGCATGTCTCAAGTTTGCTACACTTTTCTGCACAAATTGCTTTTATTGTCACATGGATTTATTCAGTATTCCAGATGGGATATAATGGCTTCACATAAACAAAGCAATCAGTCCTTGTGATGCAGCTGCAGTGAACAGCCTAGAGAAAAATGCTAGTGATTGAGGGGATTTATCCCAAGTTGCACATTGAACAATGTCACCTTATTTTGTTGCTGCTAGTCACAAAGTGGTGTCCGACCCATTGCAACCCCATGGACATCATTCCTCCAGGCCTTCTTGTCCTCCACCGTCCTCCGGAGTCCACCTAAGCTCACACCAACTGCTTCAGTGACTCCATCCAGCCACCTCATCCTCTGCCGACCCCTTCTTCTTTGGCCATCTATTGTTCCCAGCATTAGGCTCTTCTCCAGGGAGTCCTTCCTTCTCATTAGGTGGCCAAAGTATTTGAGTTTCATCTTCAGTATCTGGCCTTCTAAAGAGCAGTCAGGGTTGAACTCTTCTAGGACTGACTGGTTTGATCACCTTGCAGTCCAAGGCACTCGCAGGAGTCTTCTCCAGCACCACGATTCACCCTTGTTTGGGCTTACTTAAATGAAGAATGGGGTGCTTCTGAAAACTTTGTCACAAGTGGAACTGCTGTCTGTACAAGCCCCTTCCCTTTTCCTGTTTGGTCTTTTACTAAATTATGTTGCTGTATAATGGGGTTGTGACACCTGTGCTCCCCCAGATGCTGTTGAACTCCAGAGCCATCAACCCAAGTCAGCATAGCCAGTGGTCAGGGATGATAGGCATTTGATTTCAGAAGCCACTTGAGGGGCATAGGTTCTCCACCTGCTGTACAATACTGTGTAACTGTAGGTCTTCCATTCTCTCCTTTAATCAGAACTTTGGTCTCTCTCAGTCAGTTGCAGTCTCCTTTCTGGACTCCTTTATTGCATCTCAAACTTCCCACCTCAACTGAGAACTTCTCTGGATTCAGTTCTCTCATCCATTGGACCATGTGACAACCCTTAACTTAATACGTAGACTTTCCATCTCCTTCTGCCCTAAGCAAGCAAACAATCAAAAATGCCCTTTAACTTTCCACCCTCCACCCTTCAGTCTCCTTGCCTTCTGTCCAGATTTACTCTTTGATGTTTCAACTCTTATCACCCTCAGCCACCTTAGGATCCCCTGCTCTGTTAGACTATTCCATCCCTTCTTGCCACCATATTCTTTGGAAGAGGGTTGTTTCTGTTTCATTGTGAAAGACTTTCTGTGGCATAGGTTCTACACTGAAGGTGCTATGTAAGAAGGGGGAGGAGGCAGTCATGGAGAAGCACCAGTCTAGTCTAGTGGTTAATGCTGGAGTGGGACCAAGAGGACTTGTGTTTGATTCCCTCCACTGGGTGATCCTAGGCTAGTCTGTGTCTCGTGTGTTCACTCTCTGGGCCATTAGGAGGTGATGTCCCTTATTCACGTCAGTTCACTCAGTCTACTGCAAACTATGCCCATTGCAGTTTGCCCCAAAGACTTCTGCCTTGAGAGTCTGGGGACTTCCGTACCAGCACACTCCTACATGCATCCATGCAAATACACTTCCAATTTACCCCACTTCACTTGCTCTCTGCAGCCTCTTGCTGGCAGTCACTCCTGTCCCAGTTCTGAGCTTAAGGTATCTGTCTCAGCTCTCCAGATTCCCACGCCCAATCTATGCAGTCATGGGGCCATATGGAGAAGTTTACATGTTTGGAAAAGTGTAGGTATGTGTGAAACTTGTACTGGCTTGAGGAAACTGTCTACACCTAGAATGTAACATTCTTGAAACTCAAGTAAACAGCTGGTAAAATTTCAAACACGTGCAAGTGCAAAAAAACAGATGTTGCAGAATTTTCTGTGTATCTTCTCTACCTTATGAATGACCACAGAAAGTTCCTTGTTTGTAGCCATGATGTTCCTTGCTTCTCCACTGATCCACATGCACATGCCCTGAGGCTGCACTGCTCTGCTTTATCTTGTCATTATGTCT